AAGAAATCTAAATGGATCCTATAGTCGTCATAATCGTAGTCATACGCCTTGTGAGTTTTAATGATCTACAAAATTAGAAATGTGCAAAAATAGCATTTAAGTTGGGAGAGGGGAAGTACAGTCAACCTGTTCTAAGATCCTTCTATTAACCAAGGTGAGAGTAAAGACACTGATGAACATTGGACTGAGTAATTTGAGGATGCAAACTGTGCTTTCTAAAGTAATCATAAAATGACAGAAACAGAATGTGTAATTCCTAAAGTGTGCGGGGGATGATTCAAAAGTAGTCAATAAATGAGAAAGAAAAAACATCTCACGTAACAGGTGAGACCATTTGTAAAAAGTAAAATGTTAAATGTATCATATTTAATTATGCCAAAAGTGAATGAATTAAAAACTTTAGTGAAGGAAGATTCACAGACCAGATTTTTAAGACACAAGATGAACTCTATGTGCTGTTTATAAAAGACATACTTAAAAGGATGTATAAGGATACAAAAATATCGAGAGTTAAAGGATGAAAAAGTTACGTCATGTATGAACATATATACTAGGCAAAAGAAACCTAGGACAGGATTTAAAAACCACTGTAGTTCCAGTTGATAATAGTGCAATCCTCAAAAAAAAAAAATTATAAGCATTTTATATGCCGAGAAACAGAATAAATTTCTACAAGAATAAAATTTACAAAAATCAGTCTAAGAAGAAATAGAAGACTTGAACATTCCTATAGCAATGGAAGAAATTGTCAGTAACTTTAAAACTTAAAAAAAAAAGAGTGGCAGTCTGGGCACAGTGGCTTAATACTAACACTCTGGGAGGCGGAGGCAGTTGGACCACATGAGCTCAGGAGTTCGAGACCAGTTCTGAGCAAGAGCAAGACTCCATCTCTACTAAAAATAGAAAAAGTAGCTGCATTTTGTGGAGGGCACCTGTAGACCTAGCTACTCAGGAGGCTGAGGCAAGAGGATCACTTGAGCCCAAGAGTTTGAGGGTGCTGTGAGCTATAACATCACAGCACTCTACCCAGGGTGACAGAGTGAGACTCTGTCTCAAAACAAACAAGGGGGCGGTGTCTATGGCTCCAGGAGTACGGCATTAGCCCCATATACCAGAGGTGGTGGGTTCAAACCCCGTCCTGACCCAAGAAAACTGCAAAAAAAAATAAAAAAGTGGCTTGTGTCTGCCGTCCCAGCTACCTGGGAGGTTGAGGCTTGGGGATCACTTGTGCCCAGGAGTTTGAGGTTGCTGTGAGCTGTGATTTTTGCCACTGCACTCTAGCCTGGGTCACAGAGCAACACCTTATCTCTTAAAACAGACAACCCCGTCTCTGCCTGAAAACAACAACAAAAAAAGAACTTCAGGCACAGACAGCTTCACCCACAAATTCTCTAAATATTCCAAGAAAAAATAATTCCAATCGTAAACAAGTACTTGCATAGAAAAGAATAAAAGAGAAAACTCTGTAGCTCATTTTAATTGGCTAGTCTAACCTTGATTCCCAAACCAGAAAAGAATATTATGAGACAGAAAAATTACACACTTTATCTCACTTAAATACCCAAATCTTAAACAAAATATTAGCAAACCAAATCCAACAAGATTCCAATATTGGGTTAACATTAGAAAATCTATTTAAACCAACGTGAAAAGATTAAAAAGCAAAATAAGATCCCTTCACAGAGAAAAAAATTTCTCAATTGCTCAGTGACCTAGACTATTTTTTAGGTCTGACAAAAATTAAAACGAATTTAAAAATAAAGAATGTGAGCTCTATGTAGTGAGGCAATTTTCATAATTCCAAATGATAGAAACAGTTTTATCCCATAAACCTTCAAACAGTTTTTGAAGCAGTTTGGTACATGATAGGTAATATTTTGAGAACTTTCACGTTTTCATAAAGTACAACTCAAAGTACTTTTGCATCGGCTAACACAATAATCTCAGTTATTTAAGGGCACATTCTTGTCAATATTTGCCTTTCCAGAGTAAGTTTCTGTAGGAGGATTTTTTTACCGTTGATGTGAGCAGGAAACTGCCAGGCCTTGTGAGTTGAGGGACTGATGTTCCTGCAATTGCCATGGCGACAGTCTGGCTTATCATAGTCCCACTGTCACTTTCATAGTCATCCGTGGCTATACACATCGGCCTCCCGCGCTGATTGTGAGTTTCTGGAGAAATACAACCCCGCAGAATAAATAACAAAACTGTTTAGCTCAACTAATAGTCACTGAACATGTGGTTCCTTGTCCTAGTCTCTGTTACTCTTTAATAGAAAAATTTGTTAACGTATATTTTAATCATTAGATTAACTTCTTTTAGATATTTTAAATACTTCAAATAATCATAATTCATCCTTATGGTAATAATTTGTAGTTTTAGAGAACTTTAACTTACTAATAAAAGATATAATAATATAAATATTTTTGTCTTCAAGTAAGGAAATCCATTTTAGTGATCAAAATACCGGGAACATATTTTCATTTTATATTTTCAATATATTTCCATTTTAGTAATCAAAATGCCGGGTATGTAATGGATTTCCTTACTTGAAAGACAGAAATACTTATGTTATTGTATCTTTTATTATATGTATGATTATATATATACACACACACTATATTCAACAAACAGTCCCTAAAGGCAAAAAAGTTAGTAGTTTTATCTTTGTTGTATCTGTCAAAGTTCTTAATGAATTTTAGGTACTCAGGAAATGTTTTATTGAACTGGAAGTACTTTGCTAATTTAAATTCTTTCCTTTGCCCTAAAGAAATATTGTTGAAACTTGAATTCCACCTTGAAATTCTTTTTTTTTTTGGCCGGGGCTGGGTTTGAACCCGCCACCTCTGGCATATGGGACTGGCACCTTACTCCTTTGAGCCACAGGCGCCGCCCTTAAATTCTTGATTTAAGTAAATTCTATATATGGAAAGTAAAATCAATAACACATTGTGAGTTCTAATTTTGAAAAAACAACTTTAACTTCAACTTGTTAACCCAGTTTTTGGCAATAAATAACTCTTGATGTTAATATTCCGGAGAATATTAATTTCAATTGCACACATGAATAAAGCTGAAACTGAGGGTGGGAGACATCTGCCAAGTTTTCTTGCGTTTTTTTCTTCAGATGCACAGTATATATTTACACAAACTAACCTACTTCCCAAAATAGATAGATACAGAATTGCCATGAAATTGTTATCTTTAAATTCATTCTAGAACTACTTACAGGAATCTTGCGTTAAATTCTCTCACATAGTCAAAAGCTTTTCAGAAATATGGTTAACTATTTACAGTTTATTTTTATCAGTATATATTTGCTTGTTTCCCTAAACTTGACCTTTAACCTCGAGGTGGTTTCCAACACTGCTGAACACTGAGCTCCCCCTGAAAGTCCGTCCTGAACGCTCAGCACCTGTGAAGTCATGTAGCTGAGGCACCGTCTCCATGATGACCCCGATCAGAGGCAGATACAGCATGGCCACCCGGGCCTTCGTCTGCGGGTCAGAGTACCGCGGGTCTGAGTCATGACTGGACAGTAAATTGTGTACCATATTGATGACTTTCTTATGCAATCCAAACAGTCTATTTAAAAAGAAAAAGAAAAGGTCACAGAGAGTAGTTAATATCTTTAAAACAAACAGCCATGGCACTCACTCATTTTGTTTAATTTCTTAACTTTGCCATAGGCTTGTATGTATTCCTATAAAACATTTCTCATTTTAAAAAGGTAAATTTTAAGTGGCTATACATTTTATCTTCTCAAATCAGATCTTTTTGCATTTACCAAAAATAACTTATTTCCTTTGTCTAAAAGAAATTCCTTTTTCCAGTGGATTACATAGCCTCGGGCTGGGGTTGCCTTTGACATCTCTATTCAAACTAAACTATCTTGCTTATAAACCTAATTTGGACCTTACAACTTTCCTAGACTCCCACCCCCACCCCTAATTTCAACCTTGCTAATATGTGAGCAAGGCTCACTGTCACCTTGACATTTTTCGTCTCTCTCCTTTCTTAGATTGAAGGCACTTCGACTATGCAAACCATTCTAATTAAAAGTCATCCGCTCCAACTTCAGCTGGCCCTTGCCACTGTACCCACCAGCCTTTCCCTGTCTCATTCGCTCTACTGAGCCTCTTACCTACCCATGTCCAGAAAGAGCTAACCTGCGGCTTCTCTCAGGAAGGAAAGGCCATTCCGAACTTGTAGTAAAATTCACCTTACCTACACTCTACCCAGTCATCTGCAGGATCCTGCCATACTCTAACAGTCAACCACACTGGCCAGTTGCGGGTAGAAAACACATATTTTGCCACTCGAGGAATCATTCTTGATTACTTAGCAAACAGATGCAATGCAAAGACAAACATTTCTCTCAAAAATCAAAGACGAATATTTGCTGCACATCTATATACCTCTACCTCTAGAAGTGAAATTTAGGAATGAGATGTGAGTTTCTCACAATCTTTCATTCATTCAATTAACATATAGCTCCCTAATATCCACTTTGTATCAGACATAGTACTAAGCCACTGGAGAGCCTAATATATAAGGCTATGAGGACATGAAGGTTTGAATTTTACTATAAGTGCTATCTAAAACACACACACACAGAGAAGGGTGTTAAGTAAGGTAGTGACATGATCTGATTCCCATTTTTTTTTTTTTTAAAGACAGAGTCTCACTTTGGTCGTCCTTGGTAGAGTGCTGTGGTGTCACAGCTCACAGCAACTTCCAGCTCCTGGGCTTAGGTGATTCTCTTGCCTTAGCCTCTTCAGTAGCTGGGGCTACAAGCACTTGCCGCAGTGCCCAACTATTTTTTGGTTGTAGTTGTCATTGTTGTTTGGCGGGTCCAGGCTGGATTAGAACTTGCCAGCTCTGATGTATGTGGCTGGTGCCCTTAGCCGCTGAGCCACAGGCGCTGAGCCCGAAAGTTGCTTTTATTTTTAAAAAGCACGTTTTTCATTTATAGATTTGGCCTTTCACGTTCACAGATGGTAGTTTACTTATATTACTGTTATTAACCCTGGAAAAAGCTTCCCTGAGCGTTGACTATATCCCAGACCTACTGCTAAAACCTCAACAGGCCCTTTTCATTCGTTCAACAAATACACCAGAGGATCCTTGTAAATAACTGTTCAAAGGTATTTCTTTTCTTTTTCTGGAGCACTTACATAAGGTTAAAGTGCGTTATAACTTACATTAGGTCCTATTAGGAGATCCTATTAGGAGAAATTTAAAAAAAAATTTATCTTTGTTGGTTTTTTACAAGGTTTTTGTTTCTAATCCTTATCTTAAACATTGTTATTGTTATTAAATTTTAAGCCTTTTTAACTTTGTGAAGGCAAAATATAGAAACCTAATAAACACATGTATATGAAAAGAAATTATTGCCCAAATGAGTTATGGTAATACAGATTTTTTTTTTTTTTTGAGACACAGTTTCACTATTTTGCCCTCAGCAGAGTACCATGGTGTCACAGCTCACAGCAACCTCAAACTCTTGGGCTTAAGTGATTCTCTTGCTTCAGCCTCCCAAATAGTTAGGACTATAGGCACCAGCCACAACGCCTGGCTACTATTTTTTTGTTGCAGTTGTCATTGTTGCTTAGCAGGCCCCAGCCGGGTTCAAACCTGCCGGCCTCACATAACCACTGTGCTACGGGCACCAAACCGGTCATACGGATTTTTGAAAATAACTTTTAAGATGAATAAAGCCCATAAGGCTGCTAGACTACTACACATCAAGCTGTTTCTATAAATTCAAATCATCAGACAAGTTATCCTTCTTTTCTTACTATCAATTTCCAAAAATCCTCTGATGATTTTACGAGTTTTTAAAACCTAAAGATACTTGCTTATAGGACAATTTTGACATAAAATGCAAAGTAATGTAATTGCAAATGACATATTTTCCTTAAGAATCAAGTAAAAGACTATTTTCCTTAACTAAAAAGCACCAACTGTAAACCAACAAATCTAAGAGCCCATCTCATTAGATGCATAATTTATTACACAATATTAACAAAAAAAAATGCTACCAAATAAACTGTGATATTCTACCAATTTTAAGATAGCTCTCAAATTTAGAGATGAAAAAAATGTGAAAAAAGTCTTAAAATTGATGAAATATAGAAGTAATATGGATATGGAACTTAATGAATAGGGAAGTAAAAAAAGTGAAAGAATAGTCTTTCAATCCCTAGGGAGTGTTAAGTAGAATAATTGTGCCCCACGTTACAGATCAAATTGGTATTCTATAAGGCTAAGACTGGTCTACTCACCCTTCAGCATCAGGGTCTAAAATGATGGCCAACTCTGTTAACACAAGTCCAGCCAAATAATGCTGCTGGCGGAAAGGCACAGACAGTTCAAACATATTTGCAATCTTTTGGTCTTGTACGTTGGTGGAAAATCCAGAACTCTGTTGGGAAGGGAGGAGGAACACAACTGTGACTGCTGGTCCTCACAGATCATCACAAGTGAGATGTCTGCACTATTTGATGGCAAGACAGAATTCACAGATGGCAAAGAAAACTATATAGAATTTACTTTATTGATTTGACTACTTCATTGCTAAAATAAATTAATAACTAATAAAAGTATCCGATGTACACACCCCTATTATGAAATTAATTTAAACCTTTTTATATGAAAGCTATAACCTAATAACAACCTAAGGATATGGGGGGGGGGGAGGGAGGGGGGAGAGGATGGAGGGAGGAGGGGTTCGAGGGTTCACTTCTGTGGTTCATCTTACAAGGGTACAAGTGAATCTTTCTATGAGTAGAATATGAACGTTTTAACACAATAACTAAGAAAGTTACATGAAGGCTATGTTAACCAGTTTGATGGAAGTGTCTTGGATTGTGTGTGAAAACCCCACACTGTACCCCCAAAGTGCATCAATGTACACAGTTATCATTCAATAAAAAAAAAATTAATAACTAATGAAACTGTTAATTTTTTTATTTTTATTTCAGATTAATATATGGGTATAAATGATTAAGTTACATTGTTTGTATGTGTTAGGTAAAGTCCAAGTTATAGTTGAGTGCTATATTCTCCTATATTATACCTGTTAGGTGAGAGCTTACCAAATCCCCTCCCCTCTCCCTCTCTCTCCCTTCCTATGCCCCTCTCCCCTCTACTTGAATTTGTGTTTTTCTCTTGTGGAACATGTACTCATTCATCTAGTAGTTTTCAAATTAGTACTGAGTACACTGGATGCTTGCTTTTCCATTCTGGTGATTCTTTACTTAGAAGGATGTTGTCCAAATCAATCTGGATAAATACAAAAGATGTAAAGTCTCTGTCCTTCTTTAGGGCTGCATAGTACTCCATGGTATACACATACCACAGTTTGTTGATCCATACACAAGTTGATGGCCCCTCGGGTTGTTTTCACATCCTGGCTATTGTGAACTGAGTTACAATAAACATTCTAGGGTAAATGTCCTTATGGTAAAATGTTTTTTTTTTTCTTCTGAGTAGATACCTAGTAATGGGACTTTGAGAGCAAATGGAAGGTCTATTTTTAGCTCTTTGAGGACTCTCTATACTTCTTTCCAAAAGGACTGTAGTAGTTTGCACTCCCTTTAATTAGTTTTAATTTCCTTTTTCTTAAGTTGAAATCTTTCCGCATGTTTTCTCCTTATTCTCTTAGCCACTTAATGCTTTAATACCATCCTCTGAAGGAAAACAAGGCAACTAACTCCAAATGATACAGTATGCACTCACCCCAGAGCAGAAGAACGATATCCATGGTCAAGGCTCTGGTTATCCAGAGAAAGTCTATCCATCAGTAACATTTTCAGAGAACATACTCTCTCTGGAAAAATTACTACCATTTTGTCATCTAATGAGTTTAAAATGTTTTAATACTGAAAAATGGCACACCCCCAAATATCTTCCACTCTCACAAACGTCAATATGGGGTTTCTTAGAACAACAACAGTAGATTTCAGAGTTTTCTATGGAGAAATCATCTTCCTAATAAGTACATAAAATTTTTCCTCAATGCCTCTCCTCAAAAGAGTGACATCTCTATTCTATGTAAGAATCTGAAAATGACTTAATTCGATGAGAGAGTGGACAGTAAGAAATGGAAGAAATTCTACAAGAATTTCCTGGCTGAATGAGATGTCCAGTCAGGAGTAAGACATGAATAACGGTGTCTACAATTTTTGGCCACATCTTTGGCAGAGGATAGGGAAAGAAAGAAAAAGACCAGCATCATCCATTGTAGGAAGGGTGTGCCAGCCAGTTAGAAATGCTTATGGAAACAGGCTGATCCAGAAAACATTTTTGCAAAGATAAAATGAAAAGTTGTGGGTACTCTCTGATGTCTTCTGAGCGTAGTTTAAGTTTTTCTTTTATCAAGCATATGAGATTGATCTAGCCTAGGGAATTCTTATACAGGAATTAAATGTCCTTGTTTTTATTTATTTATTTATTTATTTTGAGACAGAGTCTCACTTTGCCACCCTCAGTAGAGTGCCATGGCATCACAGCTCACGGCAACCTCCAGTTCCTGGTCTTAGGTGATTCTCTTGCCTCAGCCTCCCGAGTAGCTGGGACTACAGGTGCCCGTCACAAC